AGTGCACTCATAAAATAAAATGACCACTCACCTCTAATTTATATACTAGTAGAGGGAATATGCTTTCCATACAAGGGAATATTCTAACCTAATAAACACTCATCATTGTAGAACATTTTCATGCTCCAACAATCTCCCCCTAAATTCTTGGAAATGGTGAGGGTAAAGTAGTGATAAAAGGCAGAACATCCGATGGGCATGTTCGGTATGTCTGCTGCTGAAGTGTCTTGGAAAAGCTAAAGTTGTCGTGATCTCAGAATATGGAAATGGAATCTATATCATCAAAGAACATATAGAGGAACCCAATATTTGAATAAAAATATGAAATCCCAATCTTCGAATGTCATTTCCACGGTCTCCCCCTCTGCTGTTGAACCGAAGAGCACAATGTCAAATCACACAACGTCTTCAATATTCCGAACTCAAGTGATAATGAACCAAAAAATCTATGAAGTAAAGTTCGAATGATAAATAATGTGAATCCGAAGACATGGTCTAGAAATGCCAAAAATTTGATCGGAAGATAAAAAATGAGTGCCACGTCACATCACCAAAATAATCTTCGTATTCAAAATATCGCAAATCCAAACTCGAGAAATCATAAAATCTGACCCGGAAGGTAACACAAACGAGACATCCCAAAACGTCGAGTCTGAAGATAAATAATCATAATCCGAAGAACATCTAGTAATGCCAAAAATTCAATCTTTAAAGATCAAAAATCAGTCCCACATCACATTACTAAATCCATCTCCATCTTCAAATGTCTCTAACATCAAAACTCCAATAATAAACCAGAATGGATGCTCATGATTCTCCCCTATTTTTGATCGACAATGCAATCAAGATAAAAAAATAATCATGAAACCGGGCAAGAGAATATGTCGGATATGATGGAGCATTGCACGCTCCCCCTTGATCTGAGCATCTACCCGTAAAAACGAGGATATTATTTTTCGGTCATGGGTAGACTTGGTGATGTATTTCTGAGCTGAACAAACACTATAGAATATGTATCAAAAAACCCGCTGCTAAAGAACCATAATGTTGAACCGATGTAATGCTAATACCCAAAATGTAAACCCGAACTCCTAAAGCACAACCAATGATTCGTCAATCAAGGTCGAAGTGAACCGGTCTAGACCTCTAATCAGTCCGAATGGTGGTCCGAGACCATATGTAACCAGTTCGAAGGAAGTAAAAAATGTGAACCTCAGAAACGATCCAAACCTCGGAAAACGGTGTTGATCAGGCAAGTTTTCGAATAAAAAACTGTGGATTCGAATCTCTGAAGCATATAAATCTGAGGCTGCAAATGTGAATCGCTCGGTAGGAGGAAGAGCACACAAATAATAATCTCTGAACCAACTGTGTCTTCACTCGTACTCAGAAAAAAAGCTTTGAACCATGAGGCTAAAATTGGTGTTAAAAAAATAATTGGTTTTAAATAAAAAAATAATTGGTTTTAAATAAAAAAAATGGTATAAAAATGGTTTAGAAAAATAATGGGTATTAAATAAAATAAATGGTTTTAAATGAAATTAATTTTGTAAATTTCTTTCAAAAAACAAATAATGGACAAGGTGGTCTCGGACTAGATGAGTCCGAAGTATACAAAATTGGTTTTAAGATGGATCCGAAGTGAATCAAATTTTTTTTTAATCAATTGGATCCAAAGAAAGAAAATCAGAAGTTCTTTCCTCGGAAGGGAAGAGAGGGTATTCAGAGTAGGATCTCGGACCCTATAACCGTACCAAGATGGGTGAAGTGAGCAGGGTCTCCGGAAGGTTGAATTTGAGGCAGATGGTTCGGAATGGCGATGAGTCTCGAATGTCGAATTCCTTGAGAAGATCAATCCGAGAGGGGGTGCGAGGCATGTACTCCGGAAGCAGAGTGTCTCGGACAAAGAGTGTTCCCTCGGACAGCGAGGCGTTCACCATCACCTCGGAAGATAGTGTTTCATATGTGAGTAGTTTCGGAATGGTGGGCATCTTCGGTCATGGTGAGAAGATTTTTCAGTTGCGAAGGCTGAGAAATGCTTCAAGAATGACGAAAATCTTCAAGATAATAAACCAATCGTGATCGTTCCCTTGAAATAATCGTGAGATCTTCAACGTCTCGTTCTGATACCAATTGTAGGAACCCATTTTGTCGATTGGATTGGTGCGGAATAATAATATCAAGAAGATAATCGTAAGAACAGTGGAGAACATAATATGTGAGTAAAGTGATAATGAATAGATAGAGAGATACAAAATGTTAAATGAACAACTCTCATGGCTAGGGAGAATCCCCAACCAAACACTCTCTAATCTAGTGCACTTATAAAATTAAAAATGACCACTCACCTCCACTTTATATACTAATGGAGGGAATATTCTAACCTAATAAACACTCATCATTGTAGAGCATTTTCATGCTCCAAAAAATTCCACAACCAACGTTTGAGGGTACCCATACCCAAAACCCATATACACAACATACAAAATTTGATGATACGTTGACGCATCCATTGAACTTCAACTGATACAACTCGAAGCTTTTGAAGAACCTCTATTATTGAAGCTGAATGCAATAAACAACGATCGAGAATGCATTGACACCACATCCCATAATTCAATACACTACTGAACCAAAACCCATGTAGAACTAAACACACCAAACTCTGAAGCTGGTTTACCGATCATAAACTGCTCAACGTAGACTATAGACATCAATCTATACAACAAGCTGGTGAATCCCTCAACCATCGATACCCCACCTGAGCAACCCAAACACATCTTGATCAATTCATCGACATCCGAAAGGAACCACTGGATACAATGAGCTCCTTGCCTAATAGCTTCCTACCACGAAGACAACTCATGCGTTCCTAAGCACATACATCTGATGGAAACTTGCTTTGCACCCCCATCTTGACCAAATCTTGAACCAAAGTCTTGCATACCTGAACTGCAGATCCCTATGACTCATTCTTCTAAAACCATAAAATCGAACAGATCGGTGATCCTCTAAGAAGATTGATCAGTTCTCCCCTACTTTGGGTTTAAACTACCACGAACTGGCATTACAACAAGACCAAAACTCAAATTGGCTCATCCAGGTACGTAGCATCCCTGACCCTTGGAATGTATAACATAGTGTAAGATGATATTCCAGATAAAGAGCTAGTAAACTCAAAGATTCCGAATCTCAGATGGAGACCTCGAAAACTTCCCAATCATTACCTGCCTCTATCATCATGAATCTCATGCAGATGAACAAGACATATTTCTGATAGTCCATTCATAGAACTGATTCTCTATCTAGAAACAAATGGACTACCACTCACCTCGACCACAAATCCCCAACTATAAACTCATCGCCAGGATTATTCATAAATAAAAGAGACGTCATTCTCTTAGTTAGGATACACCATGTATCACCTGTTCCAGGTATTATTTAATTTTATAAGTTTTAGGATTTTGTGCTGGGACTCGACGAGTTGGGGAGCTCCAACTCGTCGAGTAGAGATCAGTTATGAAGGACGCGGGATTTAGATCCTACTCGACGAGTCGGAAGGCACCGACTCGATGAGTAGGCGTTGTAAAGGAAAGCCCTAATTTTTAGGGTTTGCACCCTATATAAAGAACTTAATCCGCCTCTTGTGGCCTACCTTACCACTTCATTATCCAGAGAAGAAACCCTAGTCGTTCTTTGTTGCTTCCTTGTGCTTGTGAGACTAAAAGGGTGCTTTTGGTGCATTTTGTTGAAGGAGTTTTAAGGTTGAGAAGCTTGGAACGGGAAGGAGATTGTAGATCTAGCACCTACTTTTGAAGCTTGTGCATTTTGGCAATAAGATCTTGCATGCACGTAAAGTTTGAAACTTTACGTGGAAACCATGCCTTAGGAGGCTAGATCTGCAATATGGAGCTTTGGGGTAGCTTAAAAATGTCTGAACACCAAAAGGACTGAAGTAACTCGTCGAGTCCCTTATCGAACTCGACGAGTCATGTAGGGTTTACCCGTTTTTGAGATTCCGAGTGATTTTTGTGAAGGATTGGAGTTTTCGGTCTACATGAGTTTTCGGTCTTCTGGACATTGAGGAACTCGACGAGTTACACAGGTTAGTCGATGAGTTGACGAGTTACTCAGGTAACTCGACGAGAGGTTGGATGTACTCGACGAGTTGAGGTCAACATGGACTGTTGACCTTGACTGTTGACTTTGACTTTCCCGGGGTTGACCAGGGTTAACCTTGAGGGTATTTATGGTATTTCGGGATTGTGACAAGTTCATCACATGATGCTTATACGCAGTTGAGTTGGAGATGTGCGTTGGACATATCAGAGCTTACCTTGTCAGTTCAACTTTCACGAGAGGTGAGTCTCCTCACCATGCCAATGGGTCTAAGGCACCAAGGTCGGCCCATTTTATGATATGTGGTATCCTAGCTGAAGTTGGGGGTGTTGATCGGGTAAAATTTTTGGGTTTCGGGTAATTCGGGTCGGGTAATTTGGGTTTTTCATATTAAAAAAATTACCCGTTACCCGACCCAAATTGAATTTGGATAATTCGGGTTTGGGTAATTCAGGTAATGGGTCGGGTAAGGGTAATTCGGGTATTAACCGATTTTTTTTTGATTTTTTTTTGTAAATTTTTTAATGGCACCTAAAAATAAATGTAATGAAATAAGTATGTCGTGCTAAACTTTGAACATTGAGATTTTTTACTCAATAATATTTGAGATATCAAGTATTCGTTTAACAATTTAATCAAATCTAATAAGATGTTAAAAAAAACTAATACTTAAAGAAACAATAACAATAAAAGTCAACCATTTAAATTACTTGATATCAATGTATATGCATGTATTTTGCATTTACCAAAAAACTCACGTCTTAAATCTAGAAAACATAGAAAACCATTACATTGTATGAAAATAATAACATGTCATGTTCCAAAAGACATTCATAAATATACTCGTCTTCTTGCACCTACTCGTTCTTCTTGCACCTTCACTACTTCATCTTGCTCAATTCTATATAAAAAAGTCAAATAATGTTAGTATTAAAAGGAAAAGATATTAAATTTAGAATAACTAAAATAATGAACTTTAAACAATTACCTTTGTCAATTTGTTGATTTTCTTCCCAATCATTTTCATAATCGATTGTGTCACTTATGCTACCCCGAATATAATCTTGTGTACAAATTAAACTTTCAACAATCTTAGGAGTCAAAGAACTCCTAAACGGATCCAACACCCTCCCACTAGTGCTAAAAACGGATTTTAAAGCCACGGTTGAGACGGGAATGGAAAACACATCTCTTGCCATTAATGATAAAATTGGGAATCTTGGACTATTCACTTTCCACCAATCTAGAATACTAAACATTTCTGAGTCGTCTTCAACACTTTCTTGAAAATACTTTTCTAACTCCCCAACTGATTCAACAACTGAACAGGTTATCTTGTATATGTATACCTGTAACAGTTAACGAAAAATGAATGAATACTTTGAATCGAATTCTTAACTCTTAAGTAGAGTAGTTGATAAGACCACAACAAACTCAAATATCAAATGTATCGCTTATTGCAAAATTCGATTCATATGCTATATCACGCTTAATAACTTAGGAAAAAAACAATAGATGACACCATGCGTAATAACTCCAGGCTTAATAACTTCAAAATAAGCCATATCAGGCTTAATAACTTCAAAATACGCCATATCAGGCTGGCTACCTACTTAAAAAGAGAACATCTAGGGGTAAATTAAAGATCACAATTGTATTTACATTCGACAATTAACATGTGTTTATGTTTCTAATGACATGACCATATTTAGGGGGTAAAAAAAAGAAATAACATTTGGATTAGTAAGCAATCTCTTCACCATATTTACTTCAAAATACGCCATATCTGGCTACTCAACAACCTCTTGAAAAAAGCAAAACAAACAGAATAAAACCAAAAGGTTGAAATCCAAATTCCAAACAGATTCTGATTCATGAATCAATCAAACAATAGCATTTGTATTAGTAAGCGATCCGACTTCAATCTTTAAGATACTCTTCTTGTGTAGTCAAATAGAAACAAAAACAAAACAAAGAATGAGCTAGCAGGTCAAATTGCAACAGGTACGAAGACTATCAAGTAAAGGGACGAAATTTAACTGTAAAATAAAAGCAAAGAACGACCCAACAAGTCACTTACAGTCAAGCCAAGTTTGAACTTCAAACTTTGAAGTCCAAATTGCAACAGGTGTGACGACTGACGAGGATGACTGCGACGCTGTGATGAGCCGACGGGCGACGACCACGACCGGCGAGGCCGCGACGAGCTGACGACCAGCTGACCGGCGAGGAGGCGGGGACAACCGGTTGGAGTTGATCTTGATCGGTGATGAACGAAGAGACAAGGGTTTTTTTATGATAAAATAGAACGAGGGAGCTGGGATTTGGAGTTTTGGATGAACACGGATAATTAACTCATAAAGGAATAAAAGATATTGGGCCATCATTATTTGTTTAATAAATTTTCGGGTAATCGGGTATACCCAAAACCCAAAACATTTACCCTTTACCCGACCTGAAAAAAAAATCAGGTTACCCAAATACCCAAAAAAATTAACCCGATACCCGAAAAAATCGGGCGGGTAATTCGGGTAACGAGTATTTTTGATAGGGCTAGCTGAATTGGTAATATATGGCATGTTAGTTGGTTTGTGCTAGGAATTATGCTAGTAGTATATGTGGTATGCTTGTATGGAAGACCGTGGGAGAGCCCATGACACCTGGATGTAAGACCATGTGGAGAGCCCATGACTTTCCTATTAAAAGACCATGGGAGAGCCCATGGCACTCGGATGTAAGACCATGTGGAGAGCCCATGGATTTCCTATTAAAGACCATAGGAGAGCCCATGGAAATTAGGTGTAAGACCATGTGGGGAGCCCATGGCATCCTGGAGTAAGACTCTTGAGATGAGCCCACGACATCCCTATATGTTGTATGCATGGCTTATGTGGTTTATGTAGCTTTTATAGCTAATATGATTATATGATTATGTGGATTATGTAGGGTATGCTCTGGGGAACTCACTAAGTATTAACTTACAATTTGTGGATTTGTTTCATGTACATCTGACACTAAGGGCAAGGGCAACGCTTGATGAGACGGCGTTCACTCTCACTTAGGCGTTTTTATGGGACACTCTGATGATTTGAAATAACGTTGTTATTGATATGAATTTTGAAAGCAATTGTAATTGAGATTTTATGGTTTATGAAAAGTGTTTTTGGATATTGAAAAATGAAAATTTTCTTTTGAAAATTGGGTCGTTACAAGTTGGTATCAGAGCCTTGGTTTGAGGGATTGGGGCACACTCTCGGGTGTGTCAGGACTCAAACTAAGGAAATGGTAAAATTGTTTCAAAAATAAAAGTTAAAAACTTCTTAAACTGGAAAAGAGGAGAGTGCAATACGCGTGATCGGCCGAGCCAAGTAAGTAGTTCCACAATATGTTAGCCATGTTATAGTGATATTTGAGTTATGATAATCGTATGGATCTTACTATGTGTATGCTTTTAAAATTATATACGGGTAGGAGCTTATAGCCTTACAATGATTGATTTGGCCTTATTTCCTGTTCCTTTTCTGGTTGTGATCCTAGGGTAGAATTTATTATTCGAAAGTCTATTTGATCCTTTTCTGTGTATAATTTGCATGCATAAAGGCAACCTGTTATGATTGGTCTGATATGATTGGTTTGATGTGGATAGAGTAAATCTTAGGATAACCAAGGATTTGAGTGATGTTGTAGCTTGTAGGATATGATTTGTTCTGGGACGAATTGGAGTTATCAGGTAGAGCCTTGGGAAAGGTATAAGTAGGTGTGTAAGGTAGTATTGGGCCCGTACTGCTGGAAGCACAAGACCTGTACCCGAATCAATGTTAGATCTGAAAGCTCTAAAGAGGACTGGTATGGGAGGATCCCTTCTTTTTTTTGGACATCCTGATCATTACGTTTTGTGATATTGCAGTTCAGTATGGTGGTGACACGATTGGGAGCAGGGGGATCAGGATCGGGATCTGGATCTGGATCTGGGTCGGGCGGCGGTACCGAGCCCATTGACGAGAGGCTGCGCGAGCTCATTGCAGCCAAGGTGACGAGGGGCATCCTTGACGCTACCCCAGTGTTTTTTGGAACGGTCAAGGAGGGTATGATGGAGATAATAGAGGAGAGGCTCAGGGCATTCAGAGCCGAGATTGTTGCGGGCCAGGTCAGGGCCCAAACTCCCTCGTTCCGGGAGTTCAAGGTGTATGGGGCGCCAGAGTTTTTTGGGGTCAGGGACCCCATTGTTAGCCAATGCTGGGTGGCGGACATAGAGAACGCCCAGCGCACGAGTTCTTGCCCTGATGCGGAAAAAATGGGTTTCGCCTCATCTATGCTGAGAGATCGAGCTCGAGACTGGTGGGGAGAGGTAACTAGCCAGGTGGGAGCAGCCGATGTGGCTGAGATGACGCAGGCAGAGTTTGTTAGGAGATTTGATTTGGAGTTTGCACCACCTGTCGAGGTGCAACCGCTAGTGAGGGAGTTTCATGACCTCCAGCAGACCACCGAGACTGTGGCGGAGATCACCGCCAAGTTTCCGGAACGAGCACAGTTGATCCGACAGTATGCTACAGACGAGGATATGAGGCGAACAAGGTATCAGTCCATGCTAAGGGATGATATCCGGGAGTTTGTGAGCTTTACAGGGTGAAAAACCCTTAATGAGATGGTGGAGAAGGCCCGTGAGCGGGAAATGGAGATGGACTTCCGCACCAAGTGGAAGCCTGAGCAGGCACAGACAGTAGTAGGTCAGGCTAAAAAGCTTAAGACCTCGGATTTTTCCAACAGGGGCCAGCAGGGTCGTGGCCGGTGTGCCAAGTGCGGTAAGCCGCACAATGGAGCTTGTCAGACGGCAGGCTCAGGATGCTACACATGTGGCCAGTCGGGCCATGTTATCATGGATTGCCCCAAGAAGTGTTTGATTTGTTTCCACTGCAACCAGACTGGCCATAAAAAGGCCGATCGTCCGAGGTTGTAGGGAGGAGGAAGAGCAGTGGTGGCGCTTACACCCGCCACAATGAGGATTACCGATGGCCGCCCTGCTAAGGCGGATGCTCATGCGGTGAAGAGCCGCGTATTTCAGTTGACCACCGAGGAGGCTCGGGCAGAGCCAGATGTTGTGGCTGGTACATATTTTATCTCCCTGCTCTGGATTTATTGCATTGCTTATGTGTATATTGTGCTTATGTATAGGGACCTTTTTGGTCAATGGTATGTCTGCTCACGTTTTGTTCGATTCGGGAGCTACCCGATCATTTGTATCTCTTCCTCTTAGCAAGAAGTTTCGGGATGCCTCGGGGACTTTGGATTCCCCGCTTGAGGTTGAGATTGCAGATGACCACACTGTGAGTGCTGCGAGGGTGTATCGGGACTGTGTCATGAATGTGCTTGGGGAGAGGTTTCGTGTTGATCTAGTCCCGATACCGTTGCGAGGGCTGAAGGTGATTGTCGGGATGGACTGGTTGGGGGCAATTGGGCCATGATCGATTGCGAGTGCCAGTTGGTGAGGGTTCGAACCCCAAGTGGGGGACAACTATTTATTCATGGAGAGAGGGCCTCGCAGGGGCCAACCCTCTTTTCAGCTGCGAGGGCTGGGTGATTTATGCAGCAGGGTTGTACGGGATTTCTGGCATATATCTCGGATACGAGGGTTGAGACCACGACGGATTTGGGCAGTGTACAGGTGGTCCAGGAGTTTCGGGATGTATTTCCCGAGGAGTTACCCGAAGTGCCTCCGAGGAGGAAGGTGGAGTTTCGCATTGACTTAGTGTCGGGTGTCGCTCCGATAGCCAAGGCACCGTAGCAGCTAGCTCTGCCCAAGATGCAGGAGCTATCTACACAGCTTCAGGAGCTGCTAGACCGAGGGTCATCCGTCCGAGCAGTTCCCGGTGGGGAGCACCGATACTGTTCGCGAAAAAGAAGGACGGGTCATACAGGATGTGTATTGATTATCGAGAGCTGAACAAACTAACGGTGAAGAACCGTTATCTGTTACTGAGGATCGTTGATTTATTCGATCAGCTGCAGGGTGCGTCTTGGTTCTCCAAGATTGATCTTCAGTCGGGGTACCATCAGATGAGGAATCGGGATGAGGATATACCGAAGACATCTTTCAGGACTCGGTATGGGCACTATGAGTTTGTGGTGATGCCATTCGGGCTCACCATTGCCCCTGCAGCGTTCATGGATCTCATGAACAGGGTGTGCAGACCGATGCTGGATCGGTCGGTGATTGTTTTTATTGATGATATTCTGGTCTACTCTAAGACCAAGGAGCAGCATGAGCAACATCTGAGAGAGGTATTGGAGACACTGAGAACGGAAAGGCTTTATGCCAATTTCTCCAAGTGTGACTTTTGGCTGCGAGAGGTACAGTTTTTGGGGCACATCATCAACCAGGAGGGTATTTCGGTGGATCCAGCCAAGGTTGAGGCAGTAATGTGGTGGGAAGTACCGAAGAACGCATCCGAGATCTGTAGGTTCTTGGGTTTAGCGGGCTATTATCGGAGATTCATCCAGGATTTCTCCAAGATCGTTGTGCCTTTGACCCGTTTGACCAAGAAGAATGTGACTTTCCGGTGGGGCCCGGACCAACATTCTGCTTTCGAGACCCCAAGGCAGAAGTTATGTGAGGCACCGATTCTAGTGCTACCGGAGGGGCTGGATGATTTGGTGGTGCATTGTGATGCATTGATTTCAGGGTTAGGGGCAATACTGATGCAGAGGGGGCATGTGATCGCTTACACCTCGAGGCAGTTAAAGCCTCATGAGGTGAGTTACCCCACTCATGACCTGGAATTGGGGGCAGTGGTGTTTGCCCTCAATATTTGGAGGCACTACTTGTATGGAGTGCGATGCACTATTTATACCAATCATAAGAGTGTAAAGTATTTGATGGATCAACAGAACCTCAACATGCGGCAGAGGAGGTGGTTGGACATGCTGAAATATTATGATTGTGAGATCTTATACCATCCAGGGAAGGCCAACGTGGTGGTCGATGCTTTGAGCCGCAAAGCGGCAGGTCCCCCGATTGGAAAAGTTTGTTTGAGGATGACGGTGATCTCTCCATTGTTGGATATGATCAAGGAGGCTTAGGTCGAGGGTGTGAAGAAATAGAATTGGAAGATAGAGAGGATTCGGGGTCAGTATCCCTTGTTTGTTCGGGATAGCCGAGGTCTTCTGACACAGTGTGGCCGGGTATGGGTATCGGTGACTGGAGGAGTGAGACAGAAGATATTGGAGGAGGCACTCAAGTCCAAGTTCTCTATACATCCGGGGGCTACAAAAATGTATAGAGATCTGGGACTGAGCTATTGGTGGCCCTGCATGAAGCGGGAGATCACTTGGTTCGTGGAGCGGTGCTTGACCTGTAGGAAGATCAAGGCAGAACATCAGCGGATGCATG